CTCGACGTTATTTTTTGGATGCGCCAAGTTTGTAGTGTATTAGTTGGTTTTATTTGGGGTCTTCTACCCTTGACTGGCTTCGTTGCAATTTTTTCTTTTTTCGTCGTCAATATTGGTATCGTATATGCTTACTCAAGTGTATTCCAGCACATTGATGAGGATGATTTCGGTGGCTATGGAGAAATAATAAAAGAAGGATTAATGACTGCATTTGCTAGCTTTATGATTGTTTGGATTGTCGCCTATGATTGTATCTATGGGCCACAGGAGTAATTTTGCTATTATGATTTCCTTGTACAAAGTATATTGTATTCCTGCAAATTTGTCTTATGAATAATAAATTTACTTTGAATAAGCCTTCTTTTGGTTTGGGCTTAAGTTTTATGCTTACCTCGCTGCTTAACAAATTTGCAGAATACCATGTCACGAGGATCCGCTTCTTTGACTGGATCAAGGAATTTGTTTCATTATGCAGTTACTCAACGACAAGTTTCAAACAACTGGGCATATTCTCGAGGTGCCTTTGACGGATGCTACATTTACTTTACGGCTAAAAATGTATCTTCAAGCCATGACTCCGTTGAAATCTCTTTTTGTCCATTGTGTGCATCCTCTTCTATGGGTAGTTTTGGATGCTGTATTGTCGAAATAAATCAGGGAACCAAATTATTTATCCAGCTTGGTCAGTCTCCTGATTTTGAGTTACTCATTTCACTTGATATCAATGGTCGGATTCTCTTGCCCGACGGGGTGGGCAGATATGATGCTATCTACTATTTCCATCCCCGTCCTGCCTTGGAGGCTGCTTTTATGGGATGTAGAGTAGGTGACGAGATAAAGCTTTTCACTATTTGCAATTCAAAGGCCAACGTCATAACAACAGCAAGTTTTCTCTTTTTAATAATTTGGCTTACTGAACATATATCTATATTTATATATCTTATTTCAATTTTCTACCTTTAGCTACATTACTAAGATTTTTGCCACTTACTAGTTTTTAATGCTTAAAGGGTTTTTCTTTATTAAAATCGTATACAATGTCTCAACTATTACTATCAGCTTCGCCTTATACTTTAAATCCTCATTTTTGCTACAACCTTGCCCTTTAAACCCCTGGTTTAATGTAAAATGGGAGATATTTGATCATTACAAGTAGCAGTTATGTGCATTTTTTTTCGATCCTTCTTATGTGCTTAACACTGACTCGGTATTGATGGAGGATTCTTTATTATAGTATTGTGGCAAGCAATATTTTTCGAAGACGAATTGTTTGGATAAGACTATTTATTGGCTCCAACCCATTCCCATTTACTTGATGGCACATCCCATGCACACTCATGATACAAGCTTTGTTGACGTACAGATGCGAAATATATTAGCCAAATATATCTCTGATATCTTGCTAATAAGGTCATATAATCTCATCCATTATCTCAGGCTGCTCAACAAGCTCGTCTCTTAATGAAGCCTTTATATGATTGATTTTCAGTTGCAGCCTGGAGTGTTGTTTGCACCAACTAGCAAAACTTATGCTTACGCCTAGCCTAAACTCCTTTGATATTCTCTTATTGGCTTGAATCATCCTGATAAGCCATTTTTTGGTTATTTTCCCTTCGTGTCTATATGAGCTATTCATCCACATTTGCTATGTATTCACATTTTATGGTATATTAAAAAGACAGGGATAGGAGTAACTTCACTTTTAAAACGTAAGGAAAGTGAAAAATGCTTAAGGTATATTTAGCATTGATATTAAACAGGAGTTATTTGGTCGAGGAGCGATGCGTTAGCCTCTGAAGCCGCATACTCTCTGTCTCCATCCTGAAGACAAGGTTAAAACTGCACTTCACCTTGTTTAATAATATGCTTTTGGGTCGTATGTCTCAACGGATTTCATTTCAAAACTAAGTCTTCTTTA